AAAAAAAAAAAAAAAAAAGATATAACACAAAACTGACAAAAGGAGAAGGAACACTAGGCAAAATGTGGTACAAATCTCCAAGACTCTTCAATCAGTGAAATCTTAGTTTGTCCTTAATTCCTCCAGCAGTAAGTTGTAACAAAGCATGCAAAGTGCCATGTCCATTGTCTGACTCTAATAGACCAGGGATTTTGGTCAGGCATAAGTGAGTTAGGTACTCTCAGCCTAGCATGTACGGAATTTCCAGAAGGAAAGTGGTATTAAGCAGAAACTACATTGCTTGTACAAACAGCCTAGGTACACATGATCCACTCTTTCTTTCCATTTAGGGAATTATGTATCAGTGTAAATGAGCAGCTTACTATTCAAGTTGCCAAACTCTGGTTAAGGGCCAACCCTTTCTGAGGATAGGCAATCTCAAATCTGCTATGTTAACTCTCTTGTACACAATGATTAATAAAAATAAAAGTTGATAATATGGTGTGACAATCTTATTTTTAATATTTAGGGCGTATTGAGTAAGTCAATTAATTGGAGAGAGCTGGAAAAGCAGTATTACACACAGACAGTTTATGAAGAAGAAATTATTCACATGCTTGAATACTGTGGAGTAAGTATGGTTTTGATTCAATCTTAAGAACCACCCAAAAATAAATAAATAAGGGGCCGGGGATTTAGCTCAGTGGTTCTGCCGCCTGCCTCAAAATCACAATGACCCAAGTTTGATCCCTGGTATCAAATAAATAAATAAGGATAAATGCTTGATTCTTTGATTTTTTTCCCTTGATTTATTCAGGATAATGAATTATTTCCCTTTACTGTCCAAATGTGATAAGTATGTACCATCACCTATGGCATTATTTGTCCTTTTGTGTCTGGTTTATTCATGTAGCACATTTAGTCTTCGGAGTTCATCCAGGTTATGGTATTTATCTTTAAAAAGCATTTTAAAATTTTATTTTAAAAAGTTCATTCCTGGGCCAGGGATTTAGCTCAGTGGCACTGTGCCTGCCTTGCAAGAGCAAGGTCCTGAGTTCAATCTCCAGTACCAAAAAAAGAGATAATATATTTTGTTTGTGTGTGTGTGTGTGTAAAGGAAAATTTTATCCATTGATGGGTATTCATCTGTTTTTAAAAGGGTGTTAAATAAAGTTCTGTTTTGTAATACATGGTTTTTTTCTTTCATATTTTCAGACAGATTCTTTCAGAATGGGACAAGAGTTTGTGAAACGTTTCCCTAGCAGTGCAGACAAGTTATTTTCTAGAAGTTTAAATTTAGATATGACAAACCAAGTTGTGTCACAAAAATCTGAGTGCCAAACTTCTACTAAAACATCTATCAGTGCTACATCAGGAGGACTCTTCTTGCAAGATACCTCTAAAATAGACTGCTTGAATCAAACACTTTCAGCCAACAAGGGTGGTTACACAAGTTACAACCCTCAGTCCTACCAGGTACTCAGCAAAGAACAAAGAAGAAACAGTCTTCAAAAAGAATCTTTAATATTTATGAAAGGAGTCATGGATGAATGTACTCATGTAGCAAATTTCTCAGGTACTAATTTTTATATGTAATTGAGAATATTTGCTGGTGTGTAAATATTTGGAACCTATTTTAATGATGTTCTACAAAATAATTTTGTTTTAAAAGAAAAGGAGTATTTTTGTTACTTCCAGAATGTGTTCTCCAAGATAAACTCATCATGTAAATGTATCATATTTTATGGATGAAACATTTCTGTGGCATCTCATTCATCCATTCATTCATTCATTGTTTTTTTTGAAATAAGGTCTCACTATGTATTTCAGGCTGGCCTTAAACTTACTTTGTAGTCCAGGCTGGCCTTGAACTCTGCTGATCCTCGCAAGTGCTGGGATTATAGTCATGTGCCATCATACCCAGCCATCTTATCCATTTAAAAATACATTGGAGGTAACTTAGTGGTAGAACATGAGTTTAGCATTCACAAAGCGCTGGGTTTAGTGGTCAGCACCAGAAAATTACAGTGATCAAAATACGCTGGATATTGTATCTTTAGAATAGTCATCTTGTGTTAGGATGAATATTATGGTAATATAGTATATTATATTTAATACTGAAAAGATGTTTTCCTTAATAATGGTATATTGTGTGGTATATTTTATTTTCTAATATGACTTACAGTTTTGTATAAAATCTTAGACCTTTTTAATGTGTAAAAATCCCATACTTAGTTCCAGTTGACCCAAGCCTCATTATAGTGGTGCAAGCCAAAGAAGATGCCTATATTCCACGAACAGGAGTTCGAAGTCTACAAGAAATTTGGCCTGGTTGTGAAATCCGTTATCTAGAAGGGGGTCATATTAGTGCTTACCTTTTTAAACAGGGACTCTTCAGGTAAGATGATTTGTCTAAACAGGTGTCTGTTTATTTGTTGTTTTTATTTTCCCTCAACAAGTAGAAAAACTTAGGCATTTTTATTGCATGTTTTAGTCCCTTCTTGCCTCCCCCACAAATATCACATAGAGGTATTTTCTCTCCTTTCCTACCTTGTCCTCTTTCTTTTTCTTCTAGAAAACTTGGGATGTAGGTTATCTTAAGCATATTTTATCAGGTGTCTTTAAGCACTAATGGCCATGTATTTTAGGGTGTGTGGAAGAACACTATGGTTTGTAGAAGTTGCTTAAATGCATGGAGAAGTTTTTTTTTTTTTAATTCCACTCTGATGTTTTCTCATAATGGCTTGAACATCTGTAGGATAATATAGCAATGAGACTGGGGATTTAGCTTAGTGGTTCCACCACCTGCCTTGCAAGTGCGAGGACTTGAGTTCGATCCCTGGTACCAAAAAAAAAGAGGATAATATAGCAGTGCTTTTTAGTTAGCAAGTAAACAGTGAATTTTAAGGAGAAGTGAGATGCTGATTTAATATTAATGACTTTTGATAATTAAATACTGACTCCACCATTTTTTATTCATTCACCTGTTTTTTTGTGGCACTGGGGATTGAACCCCAGGATCTTGTATCCTAGTCCTTTCTTTATTTTGTTTGAAGTACTGGAAATTGAACCAAATGAGCACTGAGCTACTTCCCCAGAACTTTTAATTTTTTGAGATAGAAATTGAACCCAAGGGACATTGAACTGCATCTATAGCCCTTTAAAAAATTAATTAATTAGTTTGTTTATTTTATTCCAAGACAAGTTCTTCCTGAATTGTATAGGCTGGCCTTGAACTTGAAACTCTCCTACCTCAGCCTCCCAAGTGCTGGGATTACAGTGTGCCACCATGTCTGGCTTTAGTCACATGATTTAAAAGGTGTATGCACACAAGCACAGGTCATGAGTTTGATCCCCAGTACCAAAAAAAAAAAAGTGTATGCAGCTCAAATGGTAGAGCAGTTGCTTAGCATACTGGAAGTTCTGGGTTTAATTCCTTGTACTGTGGGGGGAAAAAAGCCAGGCACAGTGGCATATACCTATATTCTCTGCACTTCCAGTACTCTGGAGGCTGAGGCAGGAGGGTAATTGTGACTTTGAAGCCACCCTGAACTACATAGTGAGATCCTGTCTGAAAAAAAAAAAAAGGCATATATGTACCTTTCCTAACCCTTCTCCTATCATCTACATAAATCCATACTGTGACTTTAGACATCAGGAAATCAAATTGAAATACATTCAACCAGAGAAATTTCCCCAGATTAACTCCGGGGGTGGGGATTCACCAGTGGCCTAACATCAAAAGCTCTTTTACCCTCTCACCTGCAGTCAGCTGTTGCTGTCATATCTACCCTAAAAAAAAATTCTCTTTATATGTTTATACCAACATACACACATCCTGCTTTCATTTGTTTCTCTTCTCATGGTTTTTAAGATTTACATGGAATAAATTCTTGAGCCAAAGAAATAAAAGTTTGTTAGAAATCTATGTCTTCCCTAACATAATGAAAATCATAATCTGTTAGCTGGCTCTCAATTTTAAAAATAATCTTCATATTTTTGTTAGAATATGGGGAAATGTTTGAACAAGTAAGACATAATATTAACATTTCATAGTTTTATACTGGGTGAAAATTTAGACATGCATTAAAACAGTCTGGAATAAATACATAACAACATTAATAACAGATGTCTTTGAGTAATGATATTATAATGTCTTTTTCCCCTTTCCATATTTTTTTTGATTTTCTGAGTGTTCTACAACGAAAATGTATTGTACAGTAGGGAAAAAAATTTCTTTAAAAGTTTTTTTTTTTTTTTTTTTTTTTTTTTGTG